TTCTTTGTCTTTTCCAACCTGCAAGGAAAAGAAAGTAAGTTAGATTAAATAGGAGGTGAAGGAGTAAATTTTACCTTAGGGTCTTCGCGAATGTGCTCTTTTTCTTCAATCTCCTTTTCGATCTCTTATTCACTTTTATTCTTTAGGTTCGTGGCCTTTGACCCCTCCATTTCCTTGCCACTCTTCAGTGTCATAGCACTTTCATTCTTGGGATTTGTCTCGGGTTGCGATGGAAATTTTTCAAAAACTTGGGATTCTAAGCGATTAATTGCAGTCGCCATGTGGCTTATTTGAGTCTCCAGATTTTTCATACCAGATCTAGTTTCCTGCTAGAATTGAGCAATACTCATGGCCAGGCTCTTAACAATATCCTCCAAAGAGCTTCCTGAATTTGAGGATGATGGTTGAGGCTTTTGTTGTCATGGTTATTGAAACCCTGGTGGACGATTTGGAAATGAATTCTGTGGCCTGTTTCCATAGCTAAAATTGGGGTGATCTCTCCGACTCGGATTGTATATGTTGGAGTATAGATCGTACTGCCTACTAGGCGCTGACACGCCCCTAGCCATATTCACTTGTTCAACTCCCTTCTCTTGCAACATAGGGCATGAGTCAATGGGGTGGCCCACGTTTGTGCAGATTCCACAGACCTTGACTTGATGCATGTTCTCTACAACTAATTGGCGAACAAAAGATGTTAGCTCTGATAGCTGCTACTGAATGGATGACGTCTCTACCTCGTTAACCCTACGGGTAGGGTTACTCTCACGGAAGCCAAACTGTTGAGAATTTTCTGCAATAACTTCAATGAGCAGCCATACTTCTCTCGGGGTCTTATTTGTCAGTGCTCCCCCGCTCGCAGCATCAATGATACTTCTGTCGGACGACTGGAGTCCATCATAGAAATATTGGATCAATAGTTGTTCACTAATTTGATGTTGTGGGTATCTAGTACACAACTTATTGAACCTTTCTCAATAATCATATAGGGATTCTCCGGGATACTGATTAATGCTGCATATCTCCTTTCTTAGACTTGCGGCCCGGGATGCAGGAAAGAATTTTTTCAAAAATTTCTTTTCAGTTGGGTCCATGTTGTAATACTGCCTGCAGGTAAGTAATACAACCAATCCTTTGCTGCATCCTTGAGAGAGAAGGGGAAGGCTCTAAGTTTGATTGTTCCTCAATAATTCCTGGAGGCTTCATACTGGAGCATACCACATCGAACTCTTGGATGTATTTATGTGGTTCCTCACTCGAGAGGCCATGGAATGTGGACAAAAGGTGAATCAATCCTGACTTCAGTTCGAATAAGGTGTTCTCAGCTAAAGTTGAAAATGTGATGCACAATGGTTGTTGGGGCAATTCCGGAGCAGCCAACTCCCTTAGTGTTCTTGCAATCGCCATAGAGATATTCTCTTGGCCTGGGTCACTTGAATTATCACTACTTGAATCTGTTGATTCAAACTCAGGATCAAGTCCCTGAGATGCAGTGCTAGATTGCTCCTCTCTGAGCTGCCTAGTCTCTTTCTTAATTCGGCGCGTAGTCTTCTCTATTTCAGGATCGAAAATCAAATCGCTTGTACGAGAAGAACGAGGCATAAACTAGAAAAATGCCAGACAAATCCAAAGAGAACAACTTAGAAAGAAACAAAATTAACCAAAACACCGTTTCCCTGCAACGGCGCCAAAAATTGATAGGTGTCGAGCCTGTGCAATAGTAATAATATAACTTAACTACCACCAAAAGAAGTCAATAATCAATTCTAAGTACTGGAGCAGGGACTCTAGGTATACAATGGGTTACTTGATTCACCCTGTTCCCGAAAAGTTTGCTTAATCCGATATACAAGAATTAATTACTTGACTAAATTCACTAACTAACAGACAGTGGCAAGTAGGGTCGATTTCATAGGGAACGAGTAGAAAGTTGTTTCTTTCCAAGTCAATAAAACAGAATTGGGGGATATTTAATGGAATAGGAATGAGAATAAAATAAACAAAATTCAAAAGTTAACTCAACAAGTACAATTTACTAAAAATAACAATTAATAAAATTCTACCCAAATGATCAACTTTTCAGACACGGTCCAATTAAATGATTATCGATGCAAAGACATTTCATTCATTCGTCACCAGGTTGGTTATAACTATCAACAAACTCTGACAACCAGTTTTTCCCTACTTTTTCGACAGTCAAGGTACGACCATTGACTGCTTCTTTAACAAGAAAACAACCCTAGGTACGACCGTAGGAATTTAATTATCCAGTTGCATTAAAATTAGAAGAACCCAACTCTAACCAATAAACACGCTAAGAGGGTTTACTTAAACTAGATCTTACTTAAACTAGATCTTACGTTTTCCCAACATAAAATCAATTATGGTGGTTGCCACTAGTTGTCAACTAAACAAACAATTATGGATTCAATTTAATTAACGTGGCAGTGGGCTATTAGATTAAATTAAATATCCGGCTATTAATACTCAATTAATAAAATACCCATGAACAATTAATGTAGGAAACGCACGAATAGTAACGAATCGGAAGAAATAATAAAAATTCGATTAGATCTCATAGATGTTATGGACCGCGCCTTCGCGTCAACCTTTGGGTAGAGGAGAAATCTAGCCGCTCCTCATCGTGTTACTCTCGTGTGGTTTAATTGATTCCATCCATGCAATTGCCAAAGAATTGGGAAAAATAAAGTAACGTCGAAAGCAAAAGGAAAAGTCTTGATTATCTCTCGGTCTGTGTTCTTACTGAAGCAAAAAGTAAAAGAAAAGCACTACAGGAAGTCGGCTGCAAACAAGAGCCAAAGCCGCGAGTAAAATTGTCTGACAGGAGGAAATAAAGGCTAATCTATTAAGCTCGCGTGATTCTGGCTTTTCCTCTGTTCGCCGCCGAAAAGTAGAGAAAAAGTCTGATCGAAGAAAAGAAGCTAAAAACTAATCTAATTCATATGGCGTGAATCTGGCCTTCTTCCCCTTTTGTAGCCGCCGAAAAGAAAAGCAAAGAAACGTCAGGGAGCAAGACTTTGTCTAGGGTTTCCTAATTGGCCCTGCTGCTACCAATCCCGCGAGTCAGGCTTTTGGGTATTCTTCTATAGTTTCTGGTGTTGGCATGCCCTGAGATGAAAAATCTTCTGAAAATTCTCCCCAAAATACCACTTTTAACACCAACCGCCTGCAATTTACACAAATATCAAATTTGAGCAAAATCTCAATACTTAACACAGTAAGTAACCAAGATTATGACCAAATAACATCGCAAATGGTACCCAACAATTGCTCTATCAGCGCTAAATCATAGGAGGATAAAGTATATTTTGTCATACTGTTTTGTTCATGTGGTCATTTCTTTCACTGCTTATAAATTTCCTTTTTGGGCTAAAGAAATGGTTCAAACAGAGACTATATGTACTCTACGAAGACCAGAGATTAACTAATTATATGTGCTACAGTATTGTGATTTTCGTGGGACTGGGCAAGGTTTTTTGTTTGATTTTCAACATGCAATAGAGCATGGATTATGAATCTCTTGGCAGGATGTTATTGCAAAAGGTTCTTGGATAATTACTATGAGGTTCAACAACATAGGAATCAATATGTTAGACCTTTAAATATTTTATGATCCAAAATCAAGAGAACAATAGTTTCTATAATTATATAAATGTTTTTGTGAAATTTATTTTTACCTGAAAGAAGTGCTCCACTAAAAGTCTAAAGCATCTAAGTTCAACTGGAGAATGAAGACTAAAGGCTCATGTCTCATTTCTTTGAGCAAGCATGGGAAAAGAATCTCATAGTCCAAAGAATCGGTAAAAGAAATGTAACATTGTAGTACTTTTAATGTGATGTATATGAGATAAAAAGATTTTTAAAAATTGTGTTTGTAATACAGACTGAATAATATTTGAAATTATTATTATTATTATTATTATTATTATTAGCAAATTATGTTAGCCCAACGGACCTATTGATTTTTAGTTGAAACTCTGTTGAGTTTGGATCCTGTTTGATAACCCAATTAGTACTTAAATTTAATGGATTTAAATTTTAATATGTTCAGACACGTTTGATAACTAAAACTAAAACATATGAATTAATTAAATGGCATTGAATTTTCTATGTAAACTTATTTTAAAAAACAAATGATAAGTTATTTACTTATTACTTAATGTGATATATAATTAAATGTATCAAATTTAGTACTTACTAATTCAGTAATTTAATGGATTCAGAATTCAGACTTTAGATTTCAGTTTTCAAACTTTAATTTTATCAAACACACCCTTAAAGAAAAGACTCCTATTCTCTATATTGAAGATTGAAGAATGCTATGGATTGCTCATCTCACCCCACCTTACTTGAAAGAAAGAGGGAAATAAAAATCTTAGTACAAATACTTAATTTAATTGCTTTAGTAAGTTTTTGGATTTGAAGATTAGGCTCTTGACATTAGCAAAGATAAGATGGAATTTACACATATCTTTGAGAATAATGCTAATTGTGTTTGGGTTCCGGCCAAAAGACAGTCAAAAACCTACGTAGGGACCAAATTTAACTGATATGAATTTGTATTTGTAAGAGATGTAAAATTAAACTTTTAAAAATGAGGGATGAAAAAAATTATTTTGCAAAATGTGAAAAACGTTTTAACCGGTTTTCCCACAAATAATAGTAAATGAATACCAAGTTGAATGGTTGTTGACAACTCTAGTTGTTAGAAATGTATGACATTTTTGTTGAACTTCAATGGCAGCACAGGTGAATTAGAGGAGAAAACTTATAATACGACCACAATATTGAACACATTGGTCCAATTTTAAAATTTGAAAAAAGGATGGCTAATTTACTGAATACTGATGAAAATTTGATGCCTTGTTCTTGCTATGGCTGGCTCCTTCCCTGCCCAAAACTTTCTTGATTCCTTGTTATATAAAAATTGGTACAAGTAGAATATTTGATGGGCATGCACATCTCACGAATCTAGAAATGGTACAAATAATGAAAGGCGTTGTTTCATTTGTATTAAGTACCTATGTTTATATAAAAACTTCCTTTCTGCATTCTGACCAGGAAATAACGAAAAACTTATGTTTGAGAAACCAACTATTTGTGAAACATCCATCAAAGCTAATGCTATCGAATGAGCTAAATTGACATCATTGATAACTGCCTTCATCTTCAAATCCTCTGGTCAATGAAAAATAACTTGTGTCCCTTGGCAATCTAGTAAAAAATGCAATGGGTAACAGCAGTGTCCTTTGTCCAACAACATGAGGTCTGCTTCCTGAGACTCTGGAATAAGCACCGTAATATTACGTTTCAGAACGGCTTCAATCATGACGAACTATGAAAGCAAAGAAAAAGTATGGCCTGGAAACTTGTGCAAGAAAATTGAAAACCACACTCTTTCGCAGGAACATTCAACAACACATAAAAGTGCAGAAAAATACCCTGTTTTCATGCCAATTACATGACTTAAGCATACTAGAATGCAAACTTAGAGTTCTTGGGGAGAGAAGTGCTGCATTATCACTTTTGTGCACTATATACCTCCTGAGCTCTTCTTCTTCAGCAACAATGGGAAACAACATGAAGCTGATGTTTGAGCACCATCATTCATTGCATTACTCGTCTGCAAGGTTACAATACATTAATCCAGCTCACTGAACAGAAAATCAAGGCAATTGTGGCGTATAAACTTTTCAAACTTGTGAAAGATGATAAGCAACTATCCAACATTATCTCTTTGAAAAAAAAAACATTATTGTCATTGATATGAAGCATGCAGTATCAATTGTAAGGGGTGAACGTTCACAGCACTCGGGTTCCTCCACATACATATTTGAAGTTCAATTTGACTGATCTAATTTTATAGCAAATAAGTACACAGAGTCCCAAAGAACAGCAAATTGTGTCTTGAATTTTCTTTCAACATCATTTCTCGATTAGCTTTAATGTTATCCATTGAGACTGGCAATATCAGTGACAGAAAAATGAAGAATGCATCCATGTACATCTAGCATTGCACATCAAACGAAGCATTTTCCAACACATTAAAACAAAGAGGCTAATTGTGTATGCACCGTCGCTAATAATTTCGTCCTTGGCCAAATAGAATTTAACAAGTTGAAGTGTAAGGAGTTTTTAAGATGTTTAAAATCTTTCAGTGGTTCAGAGAGGCAGACGAAATCCAGAATTTTGGTTGCTTCCAATTTGTTCAAAACCAGGCTTTGTTAAAACTAATCTTTGAAGAGAAACCAATGTCTGCCCAAAAGAAGAGAATTATAAAGAATAACTTTGCAGAAACGAGATAGAGAAAAAGAGTATAAGAGACTGAAGAGCAAATATATGTCAATAAGATCCAGATACAAAATAAGTGTGAACTTATATACATATATACATATAAATATGTATGAGTGTGAACTTTAGATAGGAAAATCTCACCGGATCACTTGAAATCTACTCCTCCAAGTAGATGCCTCTTTGGGGAGTGTATCGTTGTCTTAGTAGAGGACAATAATAAACTTCAACACGAGTTAACTTGGTGAGGCGTCTCATGGCGGCCTCGGATGGTAAAGATCAAAGCTTTTCGCAATTCCATGGTACTAGGGTTTCAAGGGACACAAGGTTTCCAATCCAATCCGGTAACACTTCTATTCCTCCAAAGTTGTGAAGACTCAGTTTAGTGAGTGCTGTCAAGTATTGAATCTGGTGTGGCAGGGACTCCGAGTGATGCAACGCTTCTAATTGAAGGCTACGGAGTGTTGAAGCAGATATTAAGCCAGACCAATCAAAATCATCCATTAAGGAGACGGGACCGATGCTCAATTTTCTTAAGCTGGTGGCAAAAGAAAATCCTTTGAACCTATGAGGGATCAATTTGGGACATCGGAGTAAGCTGAATTCCTCGAGAGAAGGCGTCTCCTGCAAATTAAGCGAAAACGACACCAGACTGGGGCACCACCCCACCGACAGGGACCGCAGAGACGGGCATGACTCGAACATTTTGTCGGATATAGTGGTCAACCCATCGCAACCCCAAATAAACAATCGCGTAAGACATGGTAGGGGGCATTTCTGTCCATTTACTCCCAGATTAATTAATCTTGCGCAAGTTTTTATGGTCAGCTGCTGCAAACTCGATCCAAACACATCTTCTGGCAGCTCCCTAAGATTGTCGCAAGTGTCGATACTCAACTCCTCAATAGAAGCAGTGCCGTGACCCGTTTTTATACTTGTTAGCTTACGGCAACTTAGAATGTGAAAATCCCTCAGCATGGGAAAGACATCTACTTGGTCTGCATCCTTCCACTCTACCCAATTCTCCATATATTCTACACGAAGTTCTTCAAGGGCTGGAAAGAATTTCCGTCTTCTAGTGCAGCTCCCTGATGCTCGTGATCTGCCCTCCTCCTCCTCATTAGTAGTAACACCGTAGAATTCATCTCCAACAGATCGAATGTTGTCCAATCTTTTCAAATAGAGACGTTTGAGGGATGGCAGTTGTCCGACTGTAGGGAGTTCACTGCATCTCTGGCAATCTTCTATCCGCAACCCCACCAAATTTGCCAAATTCATAAACCATTGCGGAAATTTATTACCCATGAAATATCGAATTTCCAACTCTTGCAAATTTGGGTGAGGTTGGAGACCTTCCAGCACATTCTCATCACAGTTATCGCTTTCTCGATCCCCACTCTTCCATTTAAACACCAAGCGAGACAGATTTGGCTTTTCGAACAATTTTGCTTGTTTAGCTGCTTCTTTGCCCTTCACTAGTCCAAGATTTCTTATAGTCAACGATCCTTTCAGATATTTCAAGGTCCCAAGCTCTTCGATGCCACATCCCCTTTTTTGACTTACATTAAAGAACTCTAGAGTTTGAAGACAAGTCAATCGTCCCATCTGCACCGGCATAATAAATTCTTCATCATCATGGTAGTAGTTTAGATGTCTCAAGCTAATCAAATCGCTCATCCGTTTTGGAAAACCTCCTTCAAGTGGAAAATTATAAATCGCTAGTGTCTGCAAATTATATAGCTTGCAAAGAGATTCTGGCAAACTTCCGATTATAGAAGAGGAAATGTCGAGCAACCGCAGACGTAGTAGTTTGCCAATAGAGCTCGGCAGAAACATGACACCAAATCCAGACAATTTGAGAACATGCAAGTGCTTGAATCTTGATAACATGTTCATGTCAGCAGACATGCCACCCTCTAGATGGAGAAATAACGAGCGGATTGATGCTGGTTTATTCCTTCTGACATTTTCTGCCATTTCTTCATATGAGTGTAATGCAAGGTAGCGATCCTGGCTGCTGCTTTTAGGATTGAGAACTGATTTTGCAAAATCATGCACGAGATCATGCATTTTATAATATGTGCTCCCCTCATCTGCGACTTTTTCTAGTAAGGAACTTTGTAACAAAATCCTTAAATACTCGCCTCCTCTTTCCTCCATCATTCCTGTGTTTTCCCGATCTGGTAGAACAAAACCTTCAGCAACCCAGTGCTCAATTAGTTCATCTTCTCCTAATTCAGTGTCCTGGGAAAAAATCGAGCAATATGCAAAACACTTCTTAACTGATGGAGGTGATAAATGATCAAAGCTCACCTTAAGTATTTGATTGATCTCACTTTGATCTTCATTCAAGAGACTCTTCTGCACAATGCAGTGCCACTTCTCTTTTCCGTTGTTAAGCAACAAGCCACCAATCAAACTTGCCGCCAATGGTAGACCATCACATCTCCTTAAAATTTGCTCTTGTATTGCTTCCAATTCTTTTGGTACTTCTTCCCCTGCGAGTACCTTTCTTTTTATCATAGACCAGCACTCATCGTCTGATAGCTTTCCTAGGGAATAAGGACCATCATTCATTTGCAAATGTCTAGGCACAGCATTAGCCACTGATTCTAGACGAGTAGTGAGAAGACACCAGCTTCCTTTGGTTTCATTGAGTCCCATCAAAGTGTTGAAATAGTCATCCCACAATCCTTGTTCATGATCCCACACATCATCAAGAACAAGGAAATATTTTTGTCCCTTCAGCTTTTCTCCAATTTCTTTAACGATAACATCTCTGTCATCCACTTTAACTTCTTTTCGTGTCAATTGTACCAAAATGAGCTTGAACAGCTCCATTATCTTAATTTGTTCTTTAGCCACACAAACCCAAATTTTTTGGCCAAAGTGCCCATCTATTTTTGGATTATTGTAGACTGATTTCGCCAGAGTTGTCTTTCCCAAACCTCCCGAGCCTGTTATGGGAATAACAGAAAGAACCTTTTCAGATGGGGTCAACAGCATCTCCACTATCTTTGACTCATCGCCAGCTCTTCCTACAACGTTCGGAACGACAATAGAGTCGGTCTGTCTGCTTGCCGTGGCACCAGCCGCATCAGCTTCTTTTTGCTGCTTTCTGGCCAATTGCAAGACATTTGCCTGCTGGTTGATCCTCTCTAGGCTGGTGTTGATGTCTCGGATCTTTGAAGCCAAGCTGGAACTAAAACCAATTGCATTAAAGGAGGAGAAGATGAAGCATACCTTCTTCTTGATGAGTTGATTTCGGTACTTCACCTCCCGACGAAGATTGTCGTAGTGGAGCTCGTCCAGCACGGTATCAGCTTTAAAAACCTCATCCTCTAGCTGCTTGAGCCACTCTCGCACCCCTTGGCTATGCATTTTCCCGTCAGCATCAGCCAGGAAACCTTGGATCATTGCAGCAGTATTGCTTAGTCTCTCCAACTCCGCTTCGACCTCCCGAACCATACCAATGCGGTCCGCAGCAATGGAAGTAACTGTCCCCAAGAGGACTTTAACAGTAGCACTGATAGCAGCGTCAGCCATTGTTTCTTGCTTGGAATTGGAACTTGGATCGAAAGGTTTTCTAATATCAGAGATGGAAGGAATGTTTCAGCAACAAATGATAGAAATCAGAATAGAAGCCAGTCAGAATAAGAGAGAGATGATTAACGATTCCAGTGGGTTGATGTGTGAGATTCAGATTAGTATAATTGTGATTAATGTAACAGTGCACAAAACTCAGAAGAGTTGACTTAACTAAACTGATTGAGGGGCTGGCAACAGGAGACATAGATCTGAAATCTCGCTCCTGATTAATCAATTTATTCTACTTTGTCTATCAAGTTCATTTATTCAATCTGGCTGGTATTAGAATATGCCTGGTGGCTACTTCCTCGAAAATGCATCTTCCTACTTTGCATTTTTCTTTTTCTTTTTTCCTCAATGTTTATTTGTTATTCACACTGCAAAGAATCTTCTCGATTTCTGAAACAATTAAGCCAACTCTTCTTGACTACTTAATCAATTAAGACAGGGAACAAACAGATTAGAATCGATGAGGACTTTTTCGTTTCATCAACCAACTTCTTGATTGCTTATGTAATTATGAAACAAATTGAGAAATGGAATTATTTAAATTTAGTAGACAGAAGATAACTTGTTGGATTAGCAGAGAAGAAAACTTAATAAAATTAATTTAAAGATAAAGGAAAGATATTGATGAATTTGATTCAGAAAAAGAGAGCTTTCTACGTGTTCTTTGATTTGAGTCATTTTAAAATTTTCGCTCCTCATTTTTTGGGTCAATGCTGAAGCCCTTTTGTCGTTTAAAATAAATCTAAAAGAGTTGGCAGATCTACATAATATCTTTTTCATTTTGGAATAGAAACCTCGGTTTCTTTGCTCAACCAAATGAGTTGATTGAATCATAATAAAGTGTTATGTGGTTGGTAGGACTTCTGTTTTACGTTCTTGAGGAACGAAGAAAAAAAAAATTATGGGCAGTTGACAGGTTATCAATGCCTGTGCAATAATAAAAATAAACATATTTGTCAATTAAAATAACCAAAACCCGATTCCAAGTACTGGAGCAGGGACTCTAGATGTGCAATGGATTACTTGACTCATCCTGTTCCCGAAGAGTTTGCTTGATCCGATATACCCGAATGGGATGGCTTTTTCACAAATAATTATTAATTTGTAAATAGGGCAAGTAGGGTCGTATCCTCAGGGACTAGGGATATTTGTCTCTTTCGAAATCCAAAAATAACACGGGGGTGTTTTTGTATAAACGATGACAATCAAAGAAATTCAAATAAAAATAAATAACTAACTAGAAATTAAATGACAATTCACTAAAATTAGAGTAACAATAATTAAAGGTCTAGCCAAGAAATAACTTCAACAATGGTTCACCTAATTGATCATTGATGCAAAGGCAGTTCCAATTATTTATTAATAAATAGGTAATAACTGGCAAACAAGCGATGACAGTCAATCCCTCCTTACTGTGTCGGTGATTAAGGCACGCCCGTTAATCACTGTTCTAATTGAGAAATAATCCTAGGTACGCCCATAAGATTTAATTCCCCAATTGCCTTACATATTATAGGAGCCCTATTCTAATCAAATAACGCACTACCAGAGTTATTTCAGATTAGCCCGCGAGTTCCCCTGACACAAACCCAATCATGCCAGTTGTCACTATTTCAAGGCAATTAAACAATTACGAATTTAATGCCCTAATTGACAATAGATTTTCAAGTTAACTAATTATCCGGATCCAAAACAATCAATTAATTAAATAATCATCAGTACTGCAATCAAGGAATACGCGAATACCAATAAATAAAAAAAAAATAAAATTAAGTCGATCTCACATTTTTTAGGGGAACCAAAGCCTCCGTTGTTCATTGACTAAAGTGAAGAAATTAGTTCATATTTGATGCGAAAAACCCATACAAAGCTGAAGCAAAAGTCGCGGCCATTGTCTGCATTTGGGAAAGCCCAATTCGTCCGAACAAGTGAAAGGAAAACGAAAATTACAAAAAATGATTGAATCTCCTAATTACTCCTGACATCCAAGAAATGAAAAGAAAACTACTAAGAGCTAAACAAAAAAGAAAAGTCAAAGGCTAAGCCATCAAAGTAGTGCTAGTTCTCTGTGCCTTTTTTTCTATCTAATACCTAGCTACTCTAATGCTTGGCTTCTGTGCGGCGGCCCCTCCAGCCGAATAGAAGACTTCAGCCTTTTCGTCCTTTTCTCGCTGCTGTCTTCCGCCAAATTACCAAAAAAGGGTCGCGTCTTGACGTTCCAAAAATGCCCCTGTTACTTAAACTCTTTTCTGATAATTACTAAATTGGCACTTATTATGGTATTTTCGTTCTACTCTCTGAAATAAATGCAAATTGCCAAAAGTGAATAGAATCTAACAATTAATCCACATTAGGTCAGGTAATAGGGGAAATTAATAATAAAATAAATGATAAAATTACAACCTATCAGCAGTGCTAAGATTCTTCTTCACTAGTTTACACCACTAAATTGTCATGTATTTGTGATCCGACATAGGATTTAGAAGCTCATTAGCTTCTTCCTCATAAATGCAGCTCACAAATACACCAAGAAAGAAAGGCCTTTCCAACTTGTTCATTCTATTCTAGTATTTGGTTAAGTGGGAAAGCTCTTTCTTTCTGAAATGCTCATTCTAACTTTTTCTAGAATCTCTCATTCCTCAAAAAAATTTAGTGAAAGCTTTTTTCTCCTTCATCCTAGAATGCCTAAATAGTAGGATGTCCAATTTATCGTCACAAGTCTACTGCATCGCCATATCTTAAGCTATTTATAAACTCAATTAATATTTGAATGTAATTATTGTAATAATTAATTTTCTTGTACTTAGAATAATATTTTGCTTTTATACTAGGAAACAAATGTTTTAAGATACTTTATTCTTTGATTTTTGAACAACTGTTCAAGAATCTTTTTTGAATCTCATATTAAAATTGAAAATAGATTAAAAATAAATTATAATTGTCTAACTTCATGTAATTTACATTTTACGCTACTATTGATATTGGTAGTAAATGAAATTTAACTTGAATCTTCACTACAATTGAAGAATTTTGATATCAATCCTCCTTTATTTTTAAATAAAGATATCAAAATTTCACGTAAATAGACAAATACTATTGCAGACCAAATAAAACAAAAAAAAAGAAGATATATTATGTCCTATAAACTAATCTAGGGTAATTAAATCAAATTTGTATTTAGTATATTCCATTCTAACATCTGGAAATTGAGTAAATATTCCATTCTAACTTGTATATCAAGCCCTGGAATAGTAACTTTTTTCCCTACCATCCCGGTGGAAACATATTCTGGCTAAAACCCTTTCTATTCTGTGCATTTCCATGTACCAAACGAGGGTAATATTAAAGAAGGAGAGAAAGTTTTAAGGCTACATTAAGATGAGGCCATCATTCTTGGCTTGGTCAATGGCTTGTGATTTCTTCATTAAGAAATTCTATTTACTAGTAGCACATTAAGATGAGGCCATGTTACTAGCTTTGGTCAATGGCTTGTGCTGCTGGCGGCCTTTATTTATTTAAGAAATTCTGTTTACTAGTACTATATAGGATGCACTAGGTATGAACTATTTTAGATATCGATTAGTAAAATAAATAAAAGTCTGATTAATCAGATTACTCTATTTTATCTATCTAGATTAATTTAATTAATCAACTTGCTAATATATTTGCAATAAGATTACTCTATTTATTTTTTTGTTATCTCCCACAAACACCCACACACACACACTCATATATATATATATATATGTATGTATGTGTATATATATGTATATATATATATACATTTTTTTGAATACAAAGGAGAGGCAACTGCCTAATAATCCTGCATGCATGTTGATAGTATCAGAATCATAAAATTCGGTTCAACAAGTCTAATGGTGTAAGATGATAGCGTTGGAATGGAGAAGAAAAAGTTAACAAAATTAATTTAAAGAGAAAGAAAAGAAAATACCGAATCTTGTTCGGGCTAATGGAAAACTGTCAATGTTTTCAGTGCTTGCCTGCTTGGTAGTTTCAAAAAGCAAAAATTCCAAATAGTCATCAGAGTGATTTTCATGTGTTTAGCATTTTTTATTTCGTTCTTTTTTTTTTTCAACATTTTGACTCTTAACTTTCCTGGATTAATGCTGGAGCCCGTTTGCCATTCAAAAATAAATAAATATTGCTTCTTCTTTGCTTGAAGCATCTTCTCGTGTAATTAAGAAATAAAGAAATGAAAGGAATACATGTTTTAGATGTTGCCTGGCCTGGAAAACATGTAAAAGTGTAATTAATCAATTTATGCTTGTTCATCTCTGTAGGTCAATTAATTGGATGCCTGGTGGCTAGTTCCTGAAGATGCATCTTCTTAATATGCTTTCTTTTTTCTTATTGTTAACTTATCGTTTAAAATACAAAAAATCTTTATTACGCAAATTATTAGGACAAGTAACAAAAAAAAATGAGAAGGGGTTAGGAAAAAAAAAAGTGTGTGAAGGGATCAAGTCATTATCATTTCATCAAGCAACTTCTTGGTTACATTAGACTAATTGAGAAGCAAATCACTGGACTTCGTAGACTAAGATAAGTTTGTTGGATTAAAGTAGAAAATTTAACAAAATTAATTTGAAGAGAAAGAAAAGCAGTTTATTAGGTATGATCCGTGTTAATTGGGAAATTGTCAATGTTTTTAAGTGTAGGTAGTTTAGAAACTAAAGTTTTAAAGAGTCAAAAGAGTGCTTCTTTTGTGTGTTTAGTAATTAGTATTTTGATTTGGTTCCTTTAGAATTCTCCAGTGTAACTTGAATACTATTTATATTTCCACAAAGAGCTAAAAGTATCAGACCAACCAACACTGCAGACTACCTTTTCTTCGAGTACAATTATTAGTTTCTAGACATAAGATAGGATATGTAGTTAACAAATTATAGTATTATATATGGTAACCTTTTCTTCTTCTCCTTTTCCTT